CCTGAAGGACAAAGTGCAGGGGCAAGGGGGGGGGGGGTTAGTCGGCTGACAGCAGTCTCTCCTCCTTGCCCTTGATGACTGATCCTGTGGACTGAAGATCTAAAGAAAACCATCCCGACTTGGAGGAGAGGTGGTGTGCCTGCTCTGAGTCATTCAGCTGTGTGCGTGTAACCTGAGATCCAGCTTTTAGGTCTATAGTCACAGCTTAAAAGTAAATAAGCGATCTAAAACCCTGGGGTACCAGACTCACCTGACTGCTGGCTGGGAAATCATAAATGCTTTTAATTTCCTATGAGGTGAACTTGATGTGACCTACAAAGTGTCTACATACAGTAATGGTGTGTGAGTATAAACACCATGTGATGACTGCAAGTACCTATATTAGTCCTTAGAATGATTCCCACATCCCTGTAAGGCTTTTTAGGGATGTGGGAAGATTAGTATGTATTGCTAGGTAGGAGTGAGTCAGGTAAACTGTTGCTTTAGGCCTACAAGGCAAATCACAGGTTTACTTAAAGGAGAACTATGGTGTCAGGGCTTTCCCCCATAGTTCTCCTATGGGTCAAACTAGTGTCCTCCCGTCACCCGAAGCTCAGTATATAGAGAGCTACAGATCACGCTACACTGAGACGCCGCAGCCAGGACAGATCCCGACTTTACTATCGAGATCCACCCACCTGTGGGATTGACAGCTGGCTCTTCCTATCTAAAGGCAGAGCCAGCTGTACCCGCCCCCTCCCCTGTCCGTTCCGCCAGTCAGCGCTGGAGGATCGGAGCGGGGAGGAGGGAATCCCTGCAGGGAGCTGTGAGTGACAGTCACGGCTCTCTGCAGGGATAGATCGAGAAGTGAGCAAGGGACGTTATGTGCTCGCTCATCTATTGAGCCGACCTGTGACAGTTTAATTGTCACAGGTCGGCTAGAACTATGAGGCTGAGTGATTTTCTCTCGCCTCATAGTTCTCCTTTAACCTTGTCCCCTTTTTTCAGCTGTCAAACTTCACAGCTTCTACTGCTCTCCGAGGCTGTGACAGTATAGTGACAAGGAGCAGAGCTTGGCAGCAGAAGTGGGCAGAGCCTAATCTTGACTTGGAGAAAAGTCAAGCTCCTGTGTACAGCTTGTGTTTAACATCCAAGTGGCCCCACAGGGACACAAGATACACTTGAAGAATAATATAGTACAGTATAGTAAAGTACGTACAGGCACCAGAAACCTATTCAGCACTGTTGTTAGTGCTTTGGCACTGTTTAGATTGGGTCAGGCTCACTTTAATAAATATGACTAATATATTTATAGAAAAAGGAATTGCACTGCGGATCCTAGATTCACACAGCTGGAATATCACCTTATTATAATGTTGGCTCAATGTTTCATTTTTACTGCATTTTGAACTTCTTTTGTTTATTTCATCTAAATTTTTCCTTTTTTTTTGTATATTCAGCACCTGGACTAAATACTTTGCTATGTAACAAATGTCTAAGTTTTAGGCTTCATTAATTACAATGTCTGCCTTGTGTGCCCAGGAAATGAAACAAGAAGAGGAAAGGAGGAAAGTTCAAGAAAAAAAAGAACTTCAAAAACGACTGGCAGAGGAACAGCACAGGGAATGGGTGCGGAAAAAACAAGAGCAGGTAAACATTTGGATCTTGCATTTTGCGGTTGTTTCTGTTGATGTGTCAGTGCCAAGGATTACCATGCCTGGGATCATTCATACATAGGTTTTCTCCACCTTTTTTATCTTCTCGCTTTCATTTTTTGTTTTTTAAAGAGACACCAACACTTGCCCATTAGCAATGAACCAACCACCCGATAAAATATACTCGCCAATCCATGCTCCTCTTTCCCTTTCTGATCCCTCGCTCTTGGGCCTGCTTTGTAAGTGATGCTCTGTTGCTAGCTTTCGTAGAAGCTCCCTCGCTGCCACAAACATGCAAAATCTAAATTGCCGGTCAGAGAGTGTCAGAGAGTGCCACAAAAAATTGTTCAGCGCCTCGGCCCTCTCCTTGTCACTTGTGAGTAACTTCCCGTTTTCGTCCTTTATTGGGCCTATCTACTCCTTTCTTACCTTTTTTACTGTTAATATATTGGTAGAATTTTTTAGGGTTTTTTTACTATCTGCGGCAATATGCTTTTCGCATTCTATTTTAGCTTCCCGGATTACTAGTTTGCATTTTTTGTTACATTCCTTGTATTTAAGGAACACCAATGCCGTCCCTTCATTCTTATATTTTATAAATGCCATTCTCTTTGCCTTAACATGTAGTTTTACAGTTTTATTTAGCCATATCGGTTTAGTCTTTGATCTTTTGTTTTTGTTACCCAATGGTATACACTTTGAAATGGCAATATGTAATGTGTTCCTGAAGCAGTCCCACATTTGGTCTGAGTTTAGGTTGTGAAATGAGTTATCCCATTTTATTTCCCCCACTAGTTTGCGCAACTTATCGAAGTTTGCCCTTCTGAAATTAAGGGTTCTTGTCCGTCCCGCCCTCTTTCCTTTCCTGTATTTAATATTGAAAGTAATCACATTGTGATCACTACTACCCAGTGTCTCCCCAATTACAATATCCTCGATTAATTCCCCATTATTAAATCTAGGATGGCATTTTTCCTAGTTGTCTGGGTAATTGAAGTCGCCCATCACGACTACATTGCCCTCCCTCCCAGCTATTTCTATTTGGGAGTGTAGATTTGCTTCCCCCTCCTCCCCTATATTCGGAGGCTTATAGCAAATACCCACAATAAGTTTACGGCTAGGGTCCGCCATATCGAGCTCTCCACTGTTTGACGTAATATCGTCCCTTATATGCATATTTAGATAGTTTTTAACGTAAATGCAAACCCCCCACCCCCTTCTCCCACATCTGTCCCTCCTGAATAGGTTATACCCCTCTATATTAGTAGCCCAATCATGTGTGCCGTCTAGCCAGGTCTCCGATATACCCACTATATCGAAGTCCTCTTCGAGTATCATAATTTCAAGCTCTTCTAATTTATTTACTAGACTTCTAGCGTTGGTCCCCAACGCTCAGAGTGAAACTGAGCTTTTTATTCTGAGTCTGATGAAGGGGACCCTGCGCGGCCCCAAAAGCGCTTGTTATTCTGAGTGACATTTATCAAATAAATGGATTTGCACTGACTCGGTTGTCGCTGGAATGCTGGTGACCTTTACATTCATTTTCGTCACAAAGGTCATAAAGCCAATGCTTTGGGGGCCACACATAATTGATTTTTTCCCTTCGTCATTGTGTCACCGTGAGGAAGGGACTCCTGCGGGGCCCTGTACGTTGACTGTATGACCTAGGTGACGTTATGAAAATAGAATCGCGCTGACTCTCATCTTTAATGGAGTGCTGGTGGCTTTTTTTCTTACACTGATTCTGCATGGTGCCATCTTCTGCATCACCTTGCTACATTGAACACAAAACTGTATGGAGTGTAGCCTAGAACTGTACCTCTCAAAGGAGTGTCGGTGTGACATGGCCTTAACGGTGCAGAATTTTTGCAGTGCTCAGGCCTGAGTGGCCAATCATCAGGTCCAAAAGCTGTCACGTGGCTGCAGTGAGCACCCCAGAGAGTGCTTTCAGGAACTCAAACAAAGTGAATCTTATGGACAATGCCTCTAATCTCTCTCATGGTGCAGTTTGATGTAGCTGTGGGGTCGTGGAACTTTAATGTTGCTTCTTCATTGGACATCATTATCTGGGTGCACAGAGAGCTCAGTAATGTGAAACTTCTTTTTATATCTTGTGTTTCTGTTATTTTGTCCATCCCTGTAAAAATGTAGTTATATTAAACCCTGCGAACCCCCTATATTATATATCTGTGTGTTCTAATGTGGTATAGCCAATTAACTTTCCACCCACATTTTTCCAATGCAGTAAAATACTTTGGGCCTGCAGTACAACAATTACAACAATTTATTTTATTTTTATTTATTTTAAATTTTTAGGTTTAAGATGTTAAGTGAAAAAGGTACTATTATCAGGAAGCACAATAGTGATCTAAGCTGAGGAAGCTTAGGAGATGGCCTTCAGACACAGCTGGCCGTGCAATCACTCAGGGTTTGTTCACACCAATTGTAGTGCTTTCCAGATCGGTAGCTGCTGGAACGCACCGCAATCGCTCACAAAACCTCCCTCTGCGTTCTGGGGCGGGAAGGGCCGTGGTGGTGCATTGAAGTAAATGGCACCGCAGCCACACACCCCCGGCCACAGTGTGATCGGACGCGTGGCAAAACATTGCCTGCGTTCCGTTCCGCTGCAAATGCAAAAAATAGAGCAAGCTATTTTTAAAAATTTTTTATTATAATGGAGCATGCTCTATTTTTTGCTTTGCAGTGGAATGGAACGCAGGCAATATTTTGCCACGGGGTCCGATTGTACTTTGGAGTCACAGGCAGAAATAAAAGCCTCGAATAAATTTTAACTTTTTCCTACTCTATCCAAAACTTAAAAAAAAAAGTAACTTATACATTATACATGATTTATATAGAGCCAACAGTTTGTGCAGTGCTTTACAACATACAGGGAGACAGTACAGTTACAATAAAAACCAAGACAAGATGGTTAGAACTATATTTTCAGATCACACTGGACTGAAACACAGGCACTGATGTGCAACGTGTTCTGTGGAGGGTGATCGCACCGTGGGGGGGAGGGCATGGCTGCGGTGCCATTGACTTCAATGCACTGTCACGCCCCCTCTCACCCCAGAACGCAGGGGGAAGTTTTGTGTCCAGCAGCTCCAGCTCTGGAACGCACCGCAATTGCTGTGAACAAGCCCAAAGTCACTTAAGTTCCCTATGTTACAATCCCTGAACCAAATGCCTAGGCACATAGTCACATGGCCAGCCAATGCAGGCATAGTTATTAAAGGGCTTTTTTTTTTTTTAACCATTTTTATTATATCTTTGGGACAAGATGGTTGGGATTGTGTGTGTGGTTGGTTACTATGCATCACCTTATATGTTTTCACATACAGAGTTTTTACATGATTATAAGAATAGTATTTATCTCCCACGTTGGGAGCTGTGCTGCGCGTGTTCAAACACAACCCTGGTATGTAAAGGTGTGACCACGTTATAAGTCAGGCCCAACCTGTCATGTGTTTGTGGAAACAATAGGATTGATGTGTGTGCCAGATGTAGGCTCAGAATAGTAATCGAGTTATGCGTTAACTTTAATCATTGTTAGATGATGGACTCATTGTCACAGACAATTTATAAAAATACTTGCTTTATAAACAGTTTGGGTTGTACCAAATTTTTAAAGGGCCATTCTTGCTAGAATAGGTAAATCGCATATTTAAAAGAGAACTATGGCTAAACGTTCTTTGGCTATAGTTTTCTCTTGTGTCACACGAGTACATTTCCTAATGTACTCCTGTGACCCAAAGTCAGCATATAGCAGCTACTGCCCGCTATATGCTGATAGTGCAGAACTGTGCTGCAGCTGCGAAAGATTCTGACAATATTTTCGGGATTGACAGCTGGCTCTACCTGTCTCAGGTGTGTGAAATTAACGCTCAATTTTGACTGTAGTGATGGAAGAAATCGAAGGAGCAGGATGGAATGTGGTTATTGTTTGGGGTAACTCATTCATTCCAAAATTGAATGTTGAAATTAAAAAATGTCTATGCAAGGCTTCACTGTTGGGAAAAGTCAGTGTGCCAGACCAGCCGATGTTTGCTGGTGAACTTTGTGAACCAGTGCCAGAAAGCAAAGGCAAAAGTGTATGGACTTATCTTTAACAGTTGATGGATTCCATTTTGGAAAGTATGATTAAAGTATATGTGAAGTTAAACCAAGAAAAGTACGCTATCATGTTTAAAAGAAAAAACAAAAAAAAACTTTTTAATGGTCTGATAAACCATATTTGACTAAAAATAATTGTTTGTATACCTTATTATAGGTTTAAAGGCTTAATTCACCTTTGGGACAATGCTTCATGTTACACCCTTATGTAGGGTGTAATATAAAACATGGACTCATTCCATTTAGCATCAGTGCCATGACTTTCCTGCACTTGTGGTCTGGTCATGGGGCTTGGATGTGAATGATGAGGAGCCTGTGCATTACACCTGCTGCGCACTGGCCATGATTGCAAGGTCAATTTTATTGACATTAAGGGATATCTGATCCCAATAAAAAATGTTATATATATATATTGCAGATTTCCCGTTTTTAGATGTGTTGGCTGCATTGATTTACATTTGTACAGCTAAATACATTTTCTGCACGTGCAAAAAAATGACATGTTTAAAAAGGGGTTCCTGCAGTAGTCTTGGCCTGCCGCTCCTTTCCTGCGCCGTCATCTTCAAATATCCTGCGCTTGCAGCCTTTTCCAGGTCTTTGTGATTTGGCAGAAACCTGTGGGGAATTCCCGAGCATGCACACACACCTTGCTGGTTTCTGGCATCTGGGACCTTGTAGATACCTGCACAATGCGTGCGCATCTCTGCCTGTTGGCAATTACCTGCCAGAAAGTTTGCCTGCGCATGTGTGAATTCTTGCCTCTGGGATATGTGATATGGACATCCCAGGAGGCAGCAAGGGGAACCTATTCCAGGCGAGGAAGGAAAGGGCTGCAGCACAACGGTTAAAAAAAAACCATTCAAAAACATGAGTTCT